AGCTACTTATCCCGAGCCGATTCTAAACGATTATCCTCCAAAAGGAAAGCAATCGCTAGGAAAGTAGAGGCTGCAATGGAAGATGGCTTGAACAGCTATACTGGGTGGAACTCATTATCTATTTGTACGATAACAACAGCTGCTGTCTTAAGAGAAAATATGTGTTTAGGACAACTTATGCCCCAACAATAATGGAGGTGTCTTGTTGTATTCAATCTATATCAACTTGGCCAAAGATGTAGTCCAAGGGCATAATTCATCTAAATGTGAACAACCACAAACAAACACCCAGAGAAAAGACATGGCAACTTGGAGCTAAAGAGGATAAGGCGGCACAGTTTCCTTTCCCTGCGATCAGGCCTCATTGAAGAAGTAAACAATATGCAAACTGGGACTCCACTGTCGATTCCAGCAGTGCATCTAATCTGAACGGTGCAAACTAGCGGGCCAATTAGCCACGGTTCAAATCCCCTAAACAACCAGTGGCAAACTCAAGGGCACGGAAACACGCAAAACAAACACCGACGTGACCCAACATGGATGCAGTGCAAATTATGACACGAGGCAGGAACAACTCACTTTTGAAGGGGCTGTCGGTTAGCCATTAATAAAAAAAGGCAGAGCTAATAATGGAACAATGGCCACAGAGAAAACAAACAGGCGGCTCGACACAAGCCTGCTGCATTAGCTGCAGTGAAAACTAATACGCCGGCTATAGAAAGAGAAGTGAAAGAGAAATTTGCCCCATCTCATCTCAACACCTCAGGCTGCTGGTGAGTCATCTCCCTCACAAGAACATTCAGCTAAGCTACCAACTGACTCAGGCAAAAAAAAACAACAAAAAAAACAGAACAAGCCTACTTTGCTGCTGCACCACACAATGATTCTACAATTCAAATTCACCACCATCCTTTCATAGAAATACCACCTAATATGAAGGGAAAGTAACTGATCACAGTCACGTCTGGTAGCATCCGTCACAGACGGCAGTTAGTGGGTCAAATTAGCCTGTGGCCCAAACCAAAGATAGACCTTAAACAGCAAATGAATGTCAAGACCGCTCAGCCAGACGGCGTTTCGAACATTGATTTTCTAACCAACCCCTCCATTACTGGATTGGGCCTGCAAACCCCAACAACAGCGTTCTAGGTGCCGCTGCTGCGTGGCACTATAAATCACAAAGACTCCCCCATGTGTGTATCAAATGCCCAAAAAACTATCCGTGAACATCCATCAAAGCCACATATTGAGATGATCTTAATTTGAACCGCAAGCATTTGGAAATTAAAACCTTGCGTTGGCCATTACTAAAAAGTGAGGGTGGGGAGGGGGATCAGGGGGAGGGGAGGGGGATCAGGGGGACGGGGGTGGGGGGCTGGACCGCAAACTTTCAACTGCTTCGTCTCCGGTCTTCTTTGATGTAAGAGTAGTCCCAGGCGAGAGTCTACTCTTCATAGTTACTCGGAAACCGATGGTTGGGGGTGTGGGGAGGGGGGCGTCCAGCTGTGGGAGAAGACCATGAATGTATCTCAGAGAAGGATAAACCACCAAATCATGACGATGGCCCATGGATGTGAAGAGAAACTATCACAGCAGGCCCCTGCTATCGGGTATAGCGTGACACTATTATCGGAACATAAACCGAGCTATTAGTTCTTCTGGGACATCAATGAGATTCACGTTCAATCAGTTTTCCATTCAAGCTCTGCCTCCAAGATTTGGAGGAGTCGAGAAAACGCTTCCACCAGACAATAACAGTCTGTTCCATACTCTAAATATAGCCAAAATCTGATCAAAAGTTGCTGTGGAGAAGAAAAGACAGACGTGTCTAACAGGCCACCAATTTTAATTTGATTTAAAAACTTGTCTCAATTTTACTGCGATTCCTTCGATTTCCTCATGTTGGACGGAGGCCTATCTCTCCCAGAAACACACATGCCAAATGTTCCAAAAGGAATAAACACGTGTGCACGGTTGCACACTCACACACACACACACACACACACACACACACGCGAAACTCCTTCCTGTTTTTAAAGTGTTTGAAAACTCAATCAAAGACACAAGGTTTAGGATTTACATCTGTGGCCTTTTCAAGTCTGTGGCCTCGCAGGAAAAAAAACCCCATCTCAGCCCAGCTGCAGCCAAGAGCTCACAACAAGGCCCCGTCTTCATGCTCCCGCATGCGGCACAACTGAAAACAATATCCACAATTCAGACACTTAGTGCTAAAAGCACTTCTTGGAGACATGAGGATATGGTCGGTGAACATCAGAGGCCCGGCTCTACAAAGGAAAGGGAGACAAGCCCCACTATCAGGATGTTGTGACCCAAAAGAAAGGTTTTTAGTGGCGGTCACATATCCACACCAGGTCTTTGTCTTAAAAAATGAAGGTTTTTGATTGAAATATGCTCCAAATACACTGCTGACATTCACGGCAGTTTATGATCGCTCCTTAAATACTTGAAGAGGAAATGAAAATTATAAGAGGGAAGTGGCCCGGGTTTAAAATACCCAGAATCCGGGCCTAAATCTGGCCATGGGAATGGAACAGTCCACATCTATACAAGGCCTGTTCAGTTTGTTGGCTTGTCTCAGTTACAGACAGTCCAAGCCCTCTGGTTATACAGAGGATCATTGTCAACAATCACACAAACAATACGACAGCTTCTAGTGGAACCAGCAGGCACTGGGGCGTAAATATTCTATACGTAAATTAACTTTGGGGGTTGTTCAACGTTCAACCCGTACGTAAATATGGTGAAACGGAGAGAGATTGAACGCGAACACACGTAATAAAATGAGAGCAAGTAAAAAGCTGTCACAACTGCCCTTGTGCGTAAATGTCTAATAACACATGCCGCTAGTCTCCGTTAACCACCGTTGTCACAAGCAACACTTCCCCAAAAGAATACAGAAGCAAAACCAAAGACGTGTCTGACTCTGTCAAAGGTTAGATACGTCTTTAGTTAAGACTAGGCCAATCGGTAAAGCTACTTGTTCATGGAGGTCGCATCCAGCAACTGGCAACGACCCCCAAATAATACCGTCTATAAAAAAAGAGAAAGAAAAAAAAAAGGGACCAGGAAATTATCTAGTTTAACATAAGGGCCACAGGATATAGGCAATTACCCAGGCCATAAAGTGCTCGCCCTAACAGCTGAGGTAGCTGCCGCCCTTTGTCGTTTTTTTCGGGACGCGATGGGGGTTGTTTCGGAGGAATGCGTTGGGAAGGCATCGCAACAGGAACGGGGGTGCAAAACAGCCCTCAGGTGATAAGATCACGACACCCACATCGGCAGATAAAACGCTGAGCTGTCAAATCAGTCACGCAGATAGGAAGAGGGGAGAGAGAGAGAGAGAGAGAGAGAGAGAGAGAGGAATCACCTGACTGGCGACAGACAATGCCACAGACCTGCAGGAGTCGAAAACAACGAGGCCATAGCCTACACACCTTTCACAGGCACATGGAGGCAACTGACCCTCACCGACGACAAATGGATAAAGGGGTCGTTTGATTCACCTCAGCAAAAGCAGCCCCTAAAATCAACAGCCTTTTGGGTTTTCTTATGGCACGGCTTAATGACGATTTGTGTGCAACTGTGACCTGTTTTGGAAACCTGAAATGTGTAATAAGAAGCTATTCTAATTTATAAAAAGGGTATCTATATTGCACGGATAAAGAAAAACAGCACAGTCGACCTCAACAGGCCATTGCCTGGGTTGAGATACATATTTAAGATAACCGCGACATTCAACAAAGAGACTGCTTGCGCATACTTCGGTGAACCGCCCGGCCATGATCATTGTTCACACACACACGCGCACGCACGCACGTGCACACACACCCTTTGTCATTACAGCCTTGTGAACATATCTGTAACAAGGCCGAGTAACTTGTTCTCAGCAAAGGGTGTGCTGTGTGTACACCGGCTCGGCTCGCCACCCATCAGTCAAACCAAACCACCTCATCTCGTCGCACATTTTTGCACTGCAAGGAGAACAGACACATTTCCCATTGCTGCGTTTGTGAGGCAAAAATAAATATATATGTATAAACATGATTTATACCATTTCTGTAAAGCCAAGAAAAGATCTTCTTAGGCCACAAACCGTATATCTGAATGCATCTTATCAATGGGAGGAGAAAGAAAAACATGCAACTGTAAAAACTCTTATACCGATTCTAAATAACAATCGACACAAATATCTGATGTTTTAATAGTTGTGTCATTAGAAAAAAAACTAATACAGAGGCTCTCTTCAGCTAAAATAAATGGCTCAGGCAGCGCTCTATACTCTCTTCACTCTGCTTCTATGAATCATACAAGAGCTACAAAGGTGGTGGAATCATAGCAACGATGTTTGGATCACTTCGCCATCTTAGCTCCTGCCATCACGCAGCGTGGAACAAACCCAGCATGCACTGTATCTTGCACACCCCGGATGATCCGTAGCCCATGGCAGTAGTTCCCAAAGCGGCGCTCGTGGGCCTTGAGAAGTCCCTGAGGTTATTGCTGCGAGTGCCAGCTAATTCTGGAATGGTCTCATTCTAATGTCATTTATCCCAATGGAGGTTTGCACAATGAAAGAGCATGTTTTCAGAAGACTGCTCTAATCAGAGACTCCTCCCTTCCCGCTAGCATCAGGCTAAAGCAGGAACAAAAACACCAGAAAAATATCTCAGTGGATGTTCGCTAGAACAGCATGTAGTAAATGGTTGAATTGGTATCTATTTGATGGCTTCCTGTGAGGAAAAAGACCTCCGCGGCATATGTTACATAAAATCCAGAAGTGTAGTTCAAGGACAAAGCCTCATTGCGTTAAATCAATGAATGTAATTTAGGCCACAGAGAGAGAGATGGAATGGGGGAAATACATGGGTGTGTTTCCAACACTAAACCGTGGCACTATAAAAAGGGCTGTAAAAAGAAAAGGGGCCATACGACTTCCTCTGTGACAAAGCCATTTCTCAGAGACAATATTCGGAGATAATGACGAAACGTCGGTTAAACCCAAACACGTGTGTGCCATTTTTCTTTTCATTTTCTTTTTTAAAAAGGGCTCACAGTGCTGCGCATTGCACGGGGAACGGGCTCATTGTGTGATCGTCGGTGCAATGCGAAACGGCATACAGTGCTGTGAATGGGCAGGCAGGTACTTTATGAATGGAGGCGATCATGTGACCGCAGCACCTCCCGGAGCAGATATTTCTCACTGGCTGTCAACAAGCGCACACAAGGGGGATCAGCCCATTAAAACAATACCGAAATGCGACCTGAAACGGACGCCACGGGCACGGAAACACCGCGCGCGCGCGCCCGCGCTGATTACAATCGATCGTCGTGCGCTCCGAGCGCTCGAGTGTGAACGTGACGCCCTTTTAAAGCGGGTTTTTTTTATGAATGGAGATTGTGATATGTAAATGAGTGTGATTGAGAAAAAAATATGGCATCTACAGCTTTCCGGCGTTGACATTGGCGCAATCGACTCGGAGGATTTTATCAAAGGGAGTCCGGGCTGAAAGAGAAAACGTGATCCGCACGGTTTTAATCAATGGTTTTGTTCCAGAATCATGGCGGACAGCAGTCACATGCACATCTTTGTCAATGTAGCGCGTTCGCACCACGGCGCACCGGCCAGACGAATCATACGTCGGCCGGATTATCGTTGTGTACATGTTATATTATATTTATAGCGAGTGGTCCCTCGCATACTGCCTATGGATAAAGTAATGCTAAATGTCCTCGGTGTTCACCACATTCCTGCTAAATAAATGATATGTAGGCAGCCATTAACAAGCCACATACACAACGTTACACACACGCTTTGGCCTGATAGGAATCCTCACCCACACTGTCGGTTAGTTTAAATATAATATACAAATCATTAAGAATGAGATATGTATATATATGTTTTTAACCTATGTGCTCTTCGCTCCCACAACGCGGCTTTCCATCAGCGAACACAACTGTCATAAACATAAAGGACGACACATTGACATTGTTGATATTAATAAAGTGAGGTGATGAAATATCAGCGTCCCTCGGCGTGAAATGTCACCGGGAACCGGTAGTGCAAAGCTCCCCGAGCAGAGCGCGTCTTAATGCCCCGAGATCCGCGAGTACTTATTGATACAGCTGTTGTGTTGTGCATGTCAATGGAGAGGTAATGCATATTAAAACAAAAAAAACAACTGTATACTCACTCATTGTTTGGATTTGTTGAATCTTCACTCATTTTTTTCCTCACGGGGATCCAAATCCTAGCAATAGCATCGACGACGCGGCGACGGCGGGATAAAATACCACAAATGTCACCATTTTTCCCCCCCTTCACATGTAGAAATTGCCGCTAGTCCGGATAGTGGGCAGACGATGTTGCGGCGGGGGGGCAGAAGCCCGAGCGAAGCGTCCGAGCGGAGCACCGAGCGGGGGAGCTAGCTTAACGTTAGCCCCGCTGCCTGCGAGTAACGTTAAATCGCGAGGAGGAATGACAGCCGTTGGTTCATTTTATCCTCCCTGGAAGTAAAATCCGACCACAACAAATGGGCCGTCGGCATCATCGTCCCCCCCAAACAAACAAACACCACCACAAAAAAAAGAAAAGAAGAAGAAAAAAAAAAGAAAAAACACGTTCCCGCTTTGCGAAAAAGGTGAATAGATCCTCAGAGACGGTAGAAACGGTGGCGGACTGTACGGTTTGGCAGGTTATTCGTGGCTGGCTGTCGAGCATCCATTCGCCAACTTCGGGGGTCCAGGACGACACTTGAAAAAGCGCCGCGGAGCCGCCGCCGCTCCGTCAACGTGTCCGAGTCATCCGCGGTAAAGGCATCCAGGAGCCGCAGGCGGAAAGGGTTCGGATGTTTTCAGCGTGGATTCTGGTGCGCGAAGTAAATACGTTGTGGACTTGAAATCTCCTCGAGAAGTTGGTGGACATCTGCTTTAATCGAACTCCATTTTCAACTCGGGGAGGGAGGGGGGGCGGCGGCGGGGCGGGCGGGGAGGGGGGGGATGAAACATCGGAAAACTGGGCGGATGAGTCGACCCTCGCATGAGAAAATTAGATCCTTCCGCGACGTAGTAAAAACATAAAACTCCTGCAATAAAACACGCTCAAGGAGCACGCGGTTTATTCCATTCCGCCCGACGGGGACGTGCGGACTGCCTCGCAGCCTTATGCGGGGAATTAGGAGTGTTTCTCTCAAAAGTTTACCTAAAGTAGTCCCCCCGCACTTCCCAAAAGAAGTTTCCCCTTAAATCACGCATTGATACAAGAGGGAAGCGTCCGTGTGATAGCACGCAAAGTAGAGAATAATCTGGAGGAAGGACTCGGGCTGACACGCAGACTCGGCCATTAACAATTTCTGCTGTTTTCTTCAAGCAGCTCCGCCGTGATCGACCCCCCCCCCCCCCCAAACGATTTTTGGAAAATCTGCATTTAAGAAATTGTGTGCGGAATTGCTTTAAATGCAGGAGGACTGCTGCAGCACGTGGAGTTACATTAGATCCCCCTTCACTCGAAACAGCACTGTTATCTTATCATGGTGTTTTATTTTATTTTTTTATTGAGCATAACACATATATAACACAAATGCGGAGCCAAAAAAGAGATGGGAAGGTCATGCACAAAATCCATTTTCTGAAAGACTTTGTGACCTATTCTGAGGGCTCGTTTGAAATTACAGCGAGGTGTTGTTTTCGTAAGGTGATGACCTGTTAAGGTAAATAAAAAATGAGGCATTTGATAGCCTCAGCAACTTGACATAAACAGGGCTTTTGGTACCAGTTGTTATATACTTAAAGTGGCCAGGCCTTGCAACCCAATCTCTCTCCAGTCAGCTGGGGCACCCTCCAAAATAAAACACCCCAAAAGGCAACCAGAAAGACCCTTGCAGCCTATGCACCTATGAATCTTATTTGCAAATGTGTTAAAAGCCTTGCAGAGCGAATCGGTGGCCTGGTTGCGTAATACTTAAATGCTAGTGGATTTTTGTGCTGTGTGGAATGGCAAGAGATCAGGCTAAATGATTCTGCCTGGTTGTCATAGTGACAGCATGTTGTGTGAGAAGTTTCTTTGTGTTTCTCTGGCTTTCATACAGCTTGTGCCACAGCCTTATGTTGCAGCCACATAAACATCCCTCTGTAGCTTTGTACATAAGTAGCCCCAGTGCACACAAGACCCCCACATGTGCAACACTGACACGCATTATGCACTTCCTGTAATATTCTATTAGATTTCCTGCCAGAGGGGTCTTCTGCTATCCTGATGGATGCCTGACAGCAAAGGGGGGAATTCTCAGTTGGGATTCTTTGGCCATCAAACAGATGCCTCGTATGCACAATGCTATGTGTACTTTTTCAAAAAGAAATCTACATTTCTGAAAAATTGTGTATTGCATAATGAAGTCACAGGCAACCTTCTCTACATATGTTACAAAATGTGGCCACTTGTCCTCGCCTCTTCCTTTTAGAATTGGTTACTTTTGTCTTGATCAAGTTCATATAAAGTGTCCCTTGTTTCAAATGTAGCAAAACAAGCAATGAACCATGAATATTGCCACTAGCGTGCTTGTATCCTTTGAGAGTATTCAGAGTTCATGAAGTCAGCCTTCTTTCTCATCTCACAAAAGTGGATGTGGAGTGTGTATTTCCTGTGTTTTTCACACACTGAATACACTGTACTGTACTTAAATAAGGCAACAGGATGTTTAGCTAACAGAGACATCCCTTGACTTCCCTCGCTAAGTGCAATCAGGGTCGTCACAATTCTTTTTAGAATAGCAAACAAGCTAACATTCCTGTATTTCCAACAAGCAACCGCAGCGTTAAGGCTGTTTGCTCAACACAAACCACGTTCTCCCGAGCTCAGTATAGAACCTCACTTGACGTTTCTTAATTATCATGAATTATCTCATTACTTGAACTCATTCCACATATGAACTAAGATCTTTGATTTCTGACTTTATATATGAGTTGGAACTTCAAACTCGTAAATTAGAGCTGTAATGATGATTTGATCCCTGAGTGGTTTGCTTCGACGTGTAGGTTTGGAGCGGTTCGCTTATGCTTATTTGACCTAAACTAACAAATCAAAAACTCACAAACAAACCCGTGGCCATGAGGTATGGCCATAGGAGGTATGACGTAACCTCCAAAACAGGAAATTCCACACAAATAGTGCTGAACATAGCAGGAGGGGGGGGTTGGAATTCACTGCTCGGACCGTGATAACGCGAATCAGATGACGAGCTGAACGCACAGGTGATGTGATCACCAGCTAGCAGCACAGGCAGCCTCTGGTCACAAGAGGGGAGAAGTGAAGGCCTCTCTTTGTGCAGCAAATATAGAAAGGAAATTCAGTCTGTGTATTCGCCGCCGCACAGCCTCCAGAGACCCCGGGGCACGGCAGTGGGAAAGACCGGAGATGGCTTATGACAGCTCTTTGGAAATAACCTATTCTCGGGATCTTCTGCTTTATATATATTTTACCTTCCTCCTATTTGTCAACATATTTATGCTATTGTACATTTTTGTGATTGGTGTCATTCTTTAAAAGCACACGCATGTAGCAGGTCTTTCTCCACAAGAGGTGTGGCTTAACCAAGAGGTGCTGATTTTTAAAGCCCTCGCAGCGGAACACAACATGCATACCTATGATTAGTGGGGGCCTGGCCTCGGAAGTCTACGACTTTTAGGCGCGCTAATTGTAGGGTGGGGAGTAGAGAAGGTGTAGTGGCTACAGGGGGGTGGAAGCGAGAGGGCCTTTGGGCATGTTGGACTCGTCTCTCTGTCTGTGTGTGCATGCACGAATGGAACCAGCATGGAACCAAAGATGAAACTATTTTAGCTGCTGCGCAGCTTTTACGGCCTCGGTAAACGGTTATGAAATCTGTGAAGCAGTTTAAGAAGCATGCATGAGTTTTTTTTTTTTTTTACTTTTTCCAGATTATGTTTCAAAATAGTCAAAGATGAAAGATGAATGTGGATAACTGTTGCAGTGAAGTGGTCTTGTGACCATGCACAAGGGTGGTGCTTGTGTCATCGTGGCTGCACAGCCCCTGAGAGGACCACTAGGACTGTTTTAAGTTGTTTAAATTGCTAGAATGTCAGTATTTAAAAACCACACTAGTGTGTTTTTTGAGGAAACAGAAAAAAGTGGAGCATTGTACTTTACAGCAAATTAGTTTTTCAGCTTTCATTACACATTATATGGCTAAAAACATATCTTGTTTATCTTTAAATTGGTTGTTAAGTTTAAAACTGGGTTGTTTTTTTTTTTTTACAGCTGTTTGTCAAGACCTGCCTGCCACTCAATTTGTACCGGTCGCTAATGTCTTTACTACAAAAATAGGAAACTCGGTTTCAGCCGCAGTTTAGCTTCTTCAGCACTTAACACGCTGTAACTTCCTATTGTTTGCATGTTGTGCGTGGGCTTGATTGAAACCCGATCTAGCTGGGGAGGCTGTGTTTAGGGTGAGGTGGACGGGCCTTTGTTGCCGCCTGAGGGGTGTTTATTTGGGCGGCTTCAGTTGGCTTCCCTGTAATCATGATCCAGCCTCACAGGATGGAGGGGATTAATGAATACGTTGGAGGGGAAGTTACAGATGACTATTTACCATTATTATGGGGATGAGTAGGAAGTGCATGAGAGACGCGGGAGAAGTTGTGCACGTGCTTTGGCATGTGCACGCTTGTGTGCGCTTCTCCTATATACCAATGAAGTGCGGGAAAAAATGCGTTAGATTAGCATTCGCTCAGGGCTGGAAAAGGCAAGCGGACCCAGCAACAGTATGGCAACTAACTACAAATATGAAATGAAGATAGAGGCTTAAATGTGGTCATTTTTAAGAGTTCAGTCCTGGTTGTTTTAGAATATCTAATAGAGTGAAAACACTCTCATTGTGCTTTTGTCAATTTTCCATTCTGGTGTCTCAGAAATTCCGAACAATAAAATACTGTTGTGTGTGAATTGTGTGCAAAATTCCATTTACTGTACAAATGCAATAAATAAAAACTGCGGTTCAGCTTTTGGCCGGAAGCGTGGCCGCAGTTTGTAATGCTGTAACTATGTAAATATTAGAAGAGTTGATTGGATTCCTGGTCAAATGACAAGGGGTCAAATGAGAAGGAATCAATGACTCAGATCTGAGTCAGACATCATCTCGGGAAGCCAAATCTGATGTCGTCCCTGTTCCCAAAACATCCCATTATGCAACAATACCTACAAGCATACGTATATTTTGAATGTCTAGTAGCGTTGCGCAGCCTTGTATAGCCCCCCCCCATGCCCATCCCTCTATTTCTCTCCCCCATGGCCTCCTCCGCTTAATCCTCCCGCTCATCTGGGAGCCACCAGCACCCCTTCATGAAGAGACGCATTGTGCCCAGATTATTTGATTGTTTTCAGATGTCGAAGCTTTTCCTACACAAAAGGAGAAGAACAGGATTTGTCCAAAAGCCCTAGGCTACTTGGCCAATGGATGGACACACGGGGAGGTGGAGAAGGAGGCAGGAGGGTGAGGAGGGGGCTGGGGGGGGGGGGGTGCATAACGGATCAACGCAGGGTTTAGGGAGCGGACACACGAGTCAGGAAGTGACCCCTGCGATGTCAGTTTACAAACAATGTGCTCTCTCAATTTCTGCAGTCGTCGCTGTGGAACATACCACTTGCGCGGCATCCGAAGGGGTGGCGCTGCTAGGAGGGAGGACGGTTTCGCCCCCCCCCCCCCCCCCCCCTCGCCCCCCTCCCGTCCCCTCTCTCCCTCCCTCCCTCCCCTTCTCTTTAAAAAAAATGCTGCATCCATTCAGAGAGTGGCGGAGTGAGTAGGTGGGGAGGAGGGGGGGGGGGGGGGGTAGTCGGGCCAGGAAGGCACTTCACTGATGAAGAGTCGCCACATGGAAATGGATGACAAGTGGGCAGAGGGAGGTGTGCGCGCGCGCGCGCGCGCGCGCGTGTGTGTAGGGGGAGAGAAGGGCGGGAATTGGCTCGC